CAGCCCTGGCCCTGAGCTTTCCCCCCAGCTTTTCCAGCAGGGATCTCCTCATGGCACAGCTGCTGTGCTTTGCTGCTGTGTCCTGTGCAGCTTCCCAGCTGTGTCCCTGCATTCCTGACAGCTGGGCAGGTTATAACAGCACCCTGCCAGCCGCTGCTCCTGGGATGCTCCAGATTGATTCCCTTGTGGCTGTCAGAGAAGCTGTGCATGTCCCAGGAATGCCCTGCAGGGATCCTGGCGTGATGTGCATGTCCCAAGGCAGCTGCCAGCCCTGCAGTGGACGTTTGGGATGTGCAGCTTCATGTGAGGTTTGCTGCTGTCACAGTTCAGTGCTGGGATTTCTGCTGCTGCTTTGGTGAGTTATAAACTGAATTTGAATTTTTTTTGTTGTTTTTTTTGTGGAGTTTGTGGACTCTCTGGGGGCCAGCAGTCAGGAAATACAATTCTTTGTATTTCAGGCTGCCTAGGAAGGAGAGAGCAGTGGCTGATCAGAGAGAGCTCTGTTCAGCACTTCAGAGCTGCCTCCCCACTAAATTCCCAAGGAGAGCTGATCCTCACCATTCATTCAGCTGCATTCCCTCACTCTTCCTCGTGGTAGTTTTGTCTCTGCAGCCAGCTGGAGCAGACAGGCAGACAGACAGACACACAGACAATGTTTTATTGCCCCATTTGGAGGGCAGTGTCCATGTGCTCTCCTGAGGGCTGGTGGGGATGTCCTGGCAATAAGAGTGACTTGCAGGGGGAAAGAAAACACAAAACTGCTTGTGCTGGCAAGCCTGGATATGGAGGGGCTTGACAGCTGGCCTGCAAGCAAAGCTGAGTTAATAAAAGAAATAACAATTAATGATTTTCGAGTGTATCCATAGCAAGGAAGAAGACAAAGCTGTCAGTGTGTATCTTAGAAAAGATACATGACAATTTTTGTAAGCTAGACTGCGTGCATAAGTAGATGTGTGTATGTGCCTTATTCAATTTCTGTAAAACTTCTATAAATTATACTGACCTTAATTGTTTTGCAGCAATGAATACAATAAGTTATTGTGATGTAGTAAACGACTTAATATCACACTTTGTTAAGAGTATATAAGCTGGAGAACACACAGAATAAAAAACTTATTTCTTCTTAGACCCTGGTCACGCGTGTGTTTGTCACGTCCGACCTAAAGGTGACACCTGGAGGCAGGAGGGGACGGCCACCCCAAACCCGGCTCAGGGCGGTGAGAGCTGCCCAGGGCCAGCCCTGGTCCATCACAGAGGTCCCTGGAGCTCCTGTGCCGCTCGTGGGACATCCCTGGGAGCCGGAGCGAGGGTTTGGGATGCGGTTGCAGCCGCTGGAGGTCACTGCTGCTCTGCAGCTCCACGCGGAATGCGGCTCCTGGAGGGGCCACAGGAGCGCTGCGACATCCCTGGGAGATGGATGGACAGAGGCTGCCCTGGGGGATCCTCACTAGCAGTCACACCTGGCACTCCAACGCTGCCCGATTGTCCCTTTCCCTCGCTGCTGGATGGAGGGACTCCTTGGGAGGCTGAGGGAACTGGCAAGGGGCTCAGCCTGGAGCAAAGGAGGCTCAGGGGGCCCTTGTGGCTCTGTGCAACTCCTGCCAGGAGGGGACAGCTAGGGGGGTCGGGCTGTGCTGCCAGGGAACAGGGACAGGACAAGGGGAAAGGGCCTCAGGCTGTGCCAGGGGAGGCTGGAAATGAGGGAAAATTCCTTCACAGAGAGGGCTGTCAAGCACTGAACAGGCTGGGTAAAATAAATTCACATCCTGGTCCCTTTTCTGCCCATCCAAACTGAGGGGACTCCATTCCAGCTCTGCGGGCACAGTGTCACCTTTACTGGGGACCTGGGGCTGAGAGGTCCCTTCTGGGAGGGTTTGGAGCCATTGCCAAGGAAATGGGTGACTTCACCAAAAGGGCCATGGTCCTTCATTGCTGTTTGAGCTTCTAAACAGGACTGGGGGAAAAATAAAATCCTTGTGAGGGCTTGGAAAACATCAGGATTCAGCAGGACAGCAAAGCTTCCAGCAGCAATGCAAAATGGTGAAATCTGTATTCAGATGTCCTCACCCCTTCCAAAGGGTCTGGAAACACCTTCCCAACTCCAATCCCAGCTACAGGACCTGGTCCCTCTGGCAGGGCAGGTATCCTTTGGGACTAGGAGTTCAGCTGATGTGGGGTAAATATCAGCTGGATGGCAAATCTGCCTTTGTCAATCTCTAGAGGAGGAGGAAGAGGAAAGGGAGCACCCTAAATGCAGACCTAGAAAGCAGGTTCTTGCTGGAAGTACCTCCCCCTTCCGCCCTTCCATGTGTCCAGGAGACTTATGAGTCAAATGGAGACATATGAAAATACAGGACATTTATTTCTGTGCATAACCCAAGCACATGTAATTGGTGTCTCCAGATGGAAAACCAGGCAAGCCTCCTCCCCTGAACCAGGAGACTCAGTGCTAACATTTCAGGCTCATAATTAACAGAAGAATATATACTCCATATCCCTCTTTTCTTTCCTAAAAAGCTTGTTTTGTAGCACACACACCACAAAAAAAGGGCTAAAAAGACTTCCAAGGCACATTATTATCAGGAAGGAATTGGAGAAATGCTGCTTTTCCTCACCAGCATCACTCTGATCCTGGAGGTGTTGGGTGGGGTGGATGACAACAATCCAGCTTGGGCAAGGAAGGTCATTTATTCCCTCCACTGGGGACTTCCAGCTGGCTGCAGATGTGTCCCCTCCTGACAGCTTTGGTAAACAGGGAGAAAACTCAGCATTTTGGGATGCAGTCCTCCAGGAGGGTTTCTTGGGCTCTCAGAAACTCATCCACTTGCAAAACAAGGCTGTTTTTCATGAGGAAAAGCTTGACTTCCAGCAAGGCCCTGCCCCATGAAAGAGAGGAGTCCAGGAGGGGGAAATCTGAGCCTTTGGGGTGTGAGGGCAGGTTTGGGGGCATGGGGTGCGTCTGTTCTTCAGCAGCTCCTCTTGTCCTTCCTCATCATCCTTCTGGTATCCTTATTGCAGCATTTTCCTCATTCAAACATGGTTGTGGAGCTGAATCCCAAGGTGCTCTGGCTCCCTATTCCTTTTCTGCAGCCAGCAGGA